AATTCAGCTAAGTGTGAGAAGGTAAACCGAGGTCCATTGTCGGAAAAACAGAATACTTCCCTGAGGATTGTGATCGTGACCACTTTCTACATGTATTGACTGTAAGTAGGAAGTTCCGTCCTTTGATTGGTCCTGCACCCTGCAGCTGCTCCACATCAATTCTGTCACTCTTTCTCATATTGTCGTTTAGTGTGTTGCAGTACTCAAAGATGGGGCGGGTAAGAAGCTTAAAAAGCTCAACTCTAGCATTGGTTGTGTGGATTTTATTGGATATATTGAACATAGATTGTCTAGCACAAGCCACTTGCTATTGGGCCTGTTCGGAGAAATTGTAGGTAGACGAGTACCTAATTTTATGATATAAATGAACCCGCTATCATGAGGATAAGTAAGTCGCGAGAGAAGAATACCCACGAGGACTTAGGAGGTAATGAAAACGAGACGAATGCATCGGTGATTTTTGCACTAAAGTTCATTAATCCTCATTGAAGATGGGCACAACAATTGACAGTCGCCAGTCCGAAGAGTCACCTCATCTTTGAGCGAAATAGATGGAGCAACACCGTCGGGTCTAGAAGACTGTTCCGTTTTAACACAGCGAGTTCATGCTGGATCTCATATTGTTTAACACGTAGCAGGCCAGTTGAACTGCCCTTCAAAATGTTCCACCTAGCCGTGACGGCTGAAAATAGACAGCTACTATCTTACTAAGAGAATTTTCTTGGACCAGTGTTCCGAATGAGTTGGAACAGCACCCGATTGTTCCCAACAGCTTTGGTTCGATTTAGCGCACGAGCCACTGCCATCCACCAAAATTTCAGGTAAATTCAACTGTCATCTGTTTCAGGGGGTTAGGGAACACACTGAATATGAGCACCCAACGGTGCCTGTTTGCGTGCTTCGATCAAACTGATGGCTCAGAGATCCAACCGCAATTAGGGCATCTCAGGTTGGGTGTAAAGCGGGGGGTCAAAAGCATTCTTCAGACGATTCCACTCAGTGTTAAACTCAACAACCTCATTCACCAATGACAATTAGTGAACTAGTTCACCATGAAATCTCTGAACTACGTACTGCGATTTCAAGTTGCAAGTAAGAAACTTAGAAGTTAAGAGCTTCTGTGAAGAGTAAACAACGGACGATGTGTGCGCGCACAAGAGCATGATCGGAATGCAGTTCACCACTCCAAATTGAACGACAGCTGAGAAAAGATGTGCACCATCTGTAGGTGATGGGAATATAGTCAATTTGGCTCTACGGCATAGAAGACTCAATGAATGTCATGTGACACGTTATGAACAGCGTTGTTAGAAAGCAGTGCTGATATCATAAAGATTGTGATCTGCCCATTAATCGCACTGATCCTGATCCAGGTGTTGACCAGACGGAAATGGCATCCACCCGGGCATTCTTGTAACCATCAACAAACACATCAGTATTCTTCTCCATACGGAGAAGTGATGAGATCTGACCATAGAATCTAGCATTGGTACGCAACGAGCTACAGTCGGCGGGGGAGTAAACGGAGGTAATGAAGAGACACTTTGTGCTTAAACAGTGCTTACTGAACCCAATGGAGGTTCCGATTCGAACCGCACATGTGACTGTTCACTGTTAGTTAGTCGAGCAGAATGCCTTCAACATATTCGCCGAGCAATACCAACATCGTAACTACCTTGAGCCATTGACTCAGTATCGGCAGTGATGCGAAGAGTAGGGTTATTGTCAGCAGATTCGAAACCGAGGAGTAGAAGATTCATCGGGACGCTTTTATTTTGCATGTGTGTTTCGAGGAAATAGCACATATCAATACCAAGAGGGTGAGCGGTGAGAGCTAGTGCTGCCTGCTGGCGGATCTGACTCATAGTGCGAACATTAAACGAAGCAATGTGAAATGAGACACTTGGTGAGAGGCTTCTCTACGTTACTGCACGCCACTCAACTACGCACTGATGATGTCACAATGACTGATGACAAAACGTTTGCAACAAATTGCCAAGCTCAGCGAACAGTTCAACCGCCATCTGAACAACCTCAGCTACCAGTCTTCAATACTACATGGAAGTTTGCTTGAGGGACTCCACTCGAAACCTTTGGCTCAATAACCTGACACATAAGACAGTGGAAAGCAAGTTCAACATAGCAATGTGATTGCGGAGCCATATCGGAATCGGCTAAAGATCTGTTACATACAGCCTTTGAAAATTCAGAAGAACTCACGTGTTTTGTGACAGTAGCGTGTTTCGCACGTGCGACCAAAACGAACTGCGGGTTAGAGTTTGCAGGTTTACACCTATGTGACCAGGAACTAGCTGGCTTTAAGCAGACGGCAGAAAACCATTGAGTACTATGTGGTGATCTTCCATTGTCAAAGACAATGCGTGGAACTAGTGATCCACGCCAATCGAGCTGTGAGCCTATCACTTGCTGCTTCCATAGTTAAGTTCCGCAAAGAGATGGCTATTTAACTTACCCAAATCTCCGAAAAAGATGCTGAGGACGAGATCTGAGTGGTTTTAAATGCATTTAGAAGTGCCACCCAGCATATGTCAATGGGTCCTGCAGGTAGCAAACAACTGCACCAAGCAAACGCTCAGTCTCATAGCGATGGCTCGTGGAATAGGAGCTTAAATGGCAGAGAGGTAATAAGACAGCCCATTCGATGAAACCGTGAGCATGCGCTATACGGTCACGAAGCGAAATACGATCGGAGTTGATGCATGCGATTCAGTTGACCAACAGGCTCACAAGTACCACCGCCACTTCCACTTGCTGGTAACATGATTGATCAAGAAGCGAGGCAGATAATCCCGTTCGGTGACAGATAACGCGATGCGAACATTGTACCTAAAGACCGTGGTGTCAAGACTGCAACAAGGCACCAGCGGTGCATCGATATGTTGCGCTGAGGACGATCAGTTGCTTCTTGAACACAAGCATTCGCGTGCGAGATAGGTATACCATGAAGTTTCTTACACCAATATGGGTTCGAACTAACCATGTGCGGAAGATGAAGCAAATGTCTGAAAATCTCGGATACAGACCAGTGCGAAGGTGATCAGAATGCAGTTGTGACTACAAAAGACACTTAGAGACTACGCTCGGGACCAGGCGGAGCAACTAGCTTGAGCATTGTTATTGCCATAAGTGTCCACGCGTCATCGTCAATAAAGTCCGAATCGGTCAACCGAGAATGGTCCACGTTACAACCTCATGCTGAGGATGACTTTGCGCGCATCATGCTTCTTCACCTCAGCTGGGCTACAATGATTTACACCTAAACTAGATCTTTTTAATCTCGACAAAAAGTATTCAAGTTTGTCTGATTTGCTCAGTTCTCTTATGCTGTGGTATATTCCGTGTCAATTCTGCGTATTTAATTTCCTTCAAATTCTATGTTGGTTGTTTGATATCCCCGGTGTGTCAGCGCTTGATGAAAATATTAACAAGGTGCCTACCTGTATAACACTCTCAACTTCGATTACTCGCTCCAGGAGACTCTGAATCGTTGCTGGGAGTACAGAGTGTACGATTATCGAGACCGTGCTAGATTTAGAGTGGTTCTATCCAGTGGTGGGTTAGGACCAAGCCACCACCTTGCACACGTCTGGTACGCATGATTTCGTATTTAGACAAGTATGTTGCTGCTGTGCACGTTGGAGGAATGTTTAGCGGCTCCGTGGATAAAATTTGGTTCCTGGTCCTGTGTTCGGATTTACACCGGATATATTGCGTGTGGATGGAGATGTGAGTGACGCAGCCCAAGTCATAAATAGTCCCTCTGTAGGCGCAAACGTCCGGTGCCTATCTCCATGGATGCCGCAGTGACAGGCAAATCCGAAACCAGATGTCGCCAACCATACATGAATTGTCAAAATACAAAGTAGTAGATGGTGTTGCCATTCAATGATGTGGAAGAGAAAGCGTATATTAGAAAACCATGGGTAAAAGGTTACCCTGAGCTTGAAAGATGTCAACCATTTATTAAGGACAGACAAAGTTGGCAGAGACCTCTTGCTAGCAAGCTGAGAAAAGAAGGGAAAAGGAGGGATTGGAACAACGGTGACCGGGTCTTATACGCAGCTGAGGCACTCCGACTGTATATTCATTGAGAGAAATGCTCAGCGTTTAATCAACAGCATGGTTCACATAGCGCTCAAATAAGGTAAATATGAGCAGAGCCACATGGAGGCATATTTAAAGCATTAAAATTAGCATTAAGAGATCCATAACAGGTAACATTGCAGATTACGAAGCTGCAATCGCGTTCAACTAGATGGTAATTTCGGTGGATGCGCACTTTAATGAACAGGGTACTTGCTGGAGGCTGGAATAAGTGAAGAAATGAGCACTACTTGTGCTCTTCCACAGCTGAAAACAACCCGTGGAGTTCGTGCCCATACCAATCTGATTGGGTTAAAAAAACTGTAGACTGCTGAATTCCGTGGCTGATGGGTGGTGGGGAGTGACTCAACTTTCTAAGGGAATAATGTCGAAACCGAATTTATCTGGTCTCCAGAAACTGATCTCTAGCGGTACCGACAAAATGCCACCCAGATTGGTTCAGCGGAATACGAAGGTAGGCAAACCACCGGGAAAAGTTAAGGATCAGCATCATTGAAAGGAGTGGACGCCAGCACGAAGCAATGATCCCATGCAATAAGCCAAGAATGGAAGCTATTTGAGCGCTTTTAGTCAAACGGATTTCGTCACCGCAGTATGCACATCATCAGATTGACTGAGATCAATGAGCTGCGTTGATGGCAATTGGATCACGGCTCAATGACTAAATGAGTTAGTAATTTGGAATGATGAAACAGAGCCCGGTACGTGAATGGATAGGAAACAGATTGTTTGAGTACTATCTGACAGACATTTGCAAAAATAAATCTAACGTTTCGAAGTTACAAACTGAGCCATTGATAAAATCATGACACAAGCATAATAGGCCCGAAAAGAGTTCAAAACTTCCGTCGAAACAAAAGTACGATTCTTTTCAGGAGGCATGGCGCGTATACGCGATGACCCGAAAGAAGGTGACGCGACTTCGCGTGAAGGAATACGATGAAACATTCGACCCGAAAGTTGATCAGAAGCAACCGGTAAGTAGTGTAGATTTGTGATATAAACGCTAACCAACTTAGTGAAACTAAACCTAACAAAGTGACAGGTATCCGGGGAAACGCAAGCGTTGATATACGTGGAACATACATGTGGAAGTCCAAAAGGTCTGATGATCCAGAACAACGCACGAGAAATCACTGTACATGAGTTCGAATGTCAAACTGCGATATAAAACAAAGTAACCAGGCTAGGATCAGAGCACGAAACAATAAATAGTAACAAAGCGGTTTAAATGGAGTATAGAGTTAAGCACCTAGTACCAGTGAATGGACGAAACGCGCATTAGATACACCTATTCGTATGCAGGTCCAGTTGAATTGATCTTGTCCTCTGTAGCTCCTAATGCCGGCCAAAATCAGAAATCAACGTCTGGAGGAAAGTGTGTTGCAGAAGCAGCTACCGAAAAAATAGTGTAAAAATGTGACGAAAAAATGTACGGAGATTTACCGGTCGACCAGAGAAAGATCGTGTTCTAGAATAGCAGTGGTAGCTGCTCGGATTGGCAGCTCAGTTGCATTAGCCAATGGGAAGGCAGATGAGCGTGTCATGATACTTCGATTACATAGCTTTCTCACAGATTTTACTTTTTCCTTGACAATGAGAAAATAGTATCATAAGAAAAAGTGTTCAAAGGAAAGAGCTACTGCAGAGACGACAGTGACTGTAATATTAACTATGGTGTGAATGTGTAAAGCGAGTATACGACCAATGAGGCCGAGAAATGCGATTTGAGTCATTCCCACAAAGTTAAATGAAGAGCAGGCTAAACTGACGAGTAAATGGCATTGCAACCAGGGGTACCCATCAAGTAAAAATGAGAAAAGCCACAGTTATGGTGTCGCAAACAAGGCATTTAGATTGCAGTAAAAAGAGAAAAAGAAGAAAGCAATAAAAAGATGACCGTCTGATTTGGAAGTGATGAGGAGATCGTCAGAAGACGCTGAACACGCTCAGTGCTCACATGGGGTTGCTATCATATGTGAGCCTAACAGAAAAGGCAGTGGTGGTCGAACGTAATAAGCCACTTGACTTCTATCGAGTTAACGGACCAAGTTTCACAACTGTACAGTAGGGTTGAAGAGATAGCCCAGATGTAGAATCTACTTTTCAGGATGACAGTGAGGTCGCGTCGGTGCCACAAGTGGGGAACATTAGCGAAAGCGTTTCCAGCTTCTATCATACGGTTTGTGATATCATCTTCCGTTCCACAGGCGCCGATATAGCTACCAGAGTAGTTGAATCTCTCCTAGCTGATCCCCGCTAAGAGTCAGCAAAGGGAATGGTCCGTGTCGATTTTGGAAGAAGACTTGGTATTTTGGGAGTGCAAAGCACAGCCCCAAACGGTTGACATCCAGAGCTAATTTGTCCAGGGCTGCTTGGCATGTTTGTGAGCTGTCACCGATAAGGACAATGCCGTAAGCTTATTCAAAAGTAGGAAATTGATTATCTGGAAGCGGTCGTCGTTATAACTAAGGCATCACAGTATCCGCACTTCTGCTGTGAAGAAAAACTGTTTAGTTGGTGACAGAGATCCTCTTTCACCGAGTCAGTGTTACAGTTAATGGGGGCGTAAGCAACAATGACAAATATGCACATGAGTTCAGAAAGGTTAGAAAACAACCGGTTGGTATAGTTTGTGGGCAACGTTTCACTTTTGACACAAAGGCTTCGTCAGACCGAGTGAACCAGTCGAGGAATGATATAGCACTTATAGCGAACTGAGATGATAATGGCGACGAATGGGATGTAGGCAGGTCAACGCAGCACTCCAAATAGTGCATGGAACGGTCACAAGTGGTCCGCATTACAAGGTCACACACGCAAGCCCTGGTAACCATGGATGCAGGGTTGATGTGATATTCGTTCTCTGCCCTGGATCCGACCGCCGGAGCTCCTCAGACTGGTCGGGTTAACACAGCTCGCCACACGCTCAAGAGCTGTCCTGTCCACTTTGTTTTCAAACCTTTCTGAAATCATGAGTTCTGGATAGGTTTCAAGTATTTTCCAAGATGTTAACTATGCACATAGTAACCCCGTGTGAATTCGAAGCTTTGAACGGTCCAATCAATCTGACGGCGCACAACTGGCTATTGGCTGGGATCCACACAATGATACGGGAAACCGGATAACACACAAGGGGTGAACGTCTTTAGATGGTCCAGACAAAGGGACAATAAACAGGTGTTAATTTGTAGTTTCAAAGCCCAGGCACAACGGAATCATCACAGTGCTTACGCCGAAAGCGGTGCACGATGATCAACCGGTGCTAATTATCGCATATGAGCGGGATAGCGAAAAATGAGGTAGTCTGGAAAAATAGGAGTAAACCCGGACTTATGCTCCATTAAGTTGTACTAATTCTGACTATCAAGTAGTCTGAAAGGAGAGATGATAAAGTGGATTCCTAGAAATATGCTACGAGGAAACATTTAACTATGTATGAACACTTACTTTGTGTAAAAGAGTAGAGGATATTGACTGTACTTTGATTCCGTTTATAGAAAAGCTTATAAGCAAAGCGGTTATCCGCTTTTCTTATTCCGGCCGGAGAGATGACCTCCAGAAGAATAACAATAATAGGTCACCTTAGCTTCGTAGAAAATGATATAGATGTTTAAGACGAACGTTACAAATGAGCTCAGACAAGTGGCCAAAAAGTGTTCGGAAAGGTTTCGTACGAAACTTTCATCCTACAGGCACTCATAATCAGGACGAATCAATGCAGACCAATGAAAAGTTAAACCGCGGAGTGAAGCTGATTGTCCCGATGTAGCGAGCGTGCTAATGAGGTACCGGCTGTTTGGTCTAACTGCTCAAACCACCGTCACGTCAGATACGCCCTTGCCAACCTGCCTGTGTATTGTTACGCACACACCAGCGACCCTGCCCGCATAATACATTACTGTGCTTCTATTGCCCGCAAGTATACTACTGCTACACTGCGATAACCCCGATAGTTTCAGACGCAATCCACGAACCCACACTTGTTAAATCCATATTCGCGTAATTCGTGATTTATGCGTAAGATGATGAAGTACGTTGTTCTTGGAAGCAGCACCCTACTGTAAGCGATGAACGACTTATTTTGTGTAATATCGCCAAAAAGCACCAGAACGGTTACCCAGTGCATTATCAAGTATGTGAACGCCGCTAGGCTGTTAAACTGTGGTTGACGATCTTGCAGTGCTAGGAATAGAACATGTTGAAAATACACGCATGGAGAAGTCCTTCAAATACACCACCAACAATGCGATGTTGACAACTATTCACTGAATAACCGGGATGTAACGCGCAGGTGAAATATTAGTGATAGAATAAATAACGGTAAGTTTGATCAGCAGGAATGGAGTCAGCGGAACAAGGGGGCAGTTGCAGTAGTGGCCAAGCCCAGCAGTTCATTGAGCGATGGCTTTCAACTTAGTTTGGATTCGAAAGGGTGATCTCGTGAGTGTTCTGGGCATCAGAAGTCGATGTAACATGCGAGTAGTAACCATAATTTTTTCAGTAATGCACACGTAACCGAGATTTCGCATATTAGGATGAGCAAAATCCAATATATCCCGTTCCTTCCTCTAATGCTGATTAAATCGATGCCAGTCCTCAGCACGCTGTCTAATACGTGATCACCTGTTTCTTTTCAGTTTCATGCGGACCTTTACCATATGTTCATGGACACTGGCTCAGAAGACGCAAAAAGACGAGTGCGGAAAATCGATTTGAAATACTTTAAAACTGTGAGACAAATACTACAAGCCACTAGATTGGCTGTGTTTACCTGAACGCATAATATCAGAAATACCCACGTAGGTGCTCAATGGTGCAAATAAAGCAGTACATTGTTATCGATGGATTGTGATGTGCAGATCAGTCAGAATCGATTAAGTTCTTCTAATTTACGAACGATTTCTTCAGCTGTGTTATCAGCCACGGTCACGAAAGCCTCTTTACCATATTCTGAAAGATAATTATAAGTGAATGGACAATATACGGAAAACTGACCATAACGCGCATAGCACTTCGGAGAAATATTGGGAGCTTCACGAATCAACATTTTAACTTGAGGATTCGCACTTTTCATTGGCAAGTAGTACTTGGTTAGAAACTCGCTGTAGTGCAAAATTGTGAGTGATATTCAGATAAGTGAGGCAAATGGATAAAAATTAGGTTAACAGGCGTGTAGTGTAAAGTAAAAAGCAGACCAGAGTGATAACCAAAGCAGATGCCACATACAACCCAACAAAATTCACTGCCGATAAGCGAACAATTCTTATGAAGAAACCTGAAGAGAGCTCACAAAGGAGACAGAAAGGCGAATCCTTGCGTAAAATAAAAGAACAGATGTAAATGGACCATTGGCTCAACAAGCAACTACATAAAACTAATATAAATTCTCGAACGTATCAGTAAGCTGTTCTAGACACGCTCTTTGGTCAGCGTCTAAATTATGGAAACCAAGGTTCATTGATGTTTTTAAGTGAGCTAGATTCATACAAATTATGGATCGACTATGATCAACTGCGCAATTGGAAACGGTACTTAGATGAACCAATAACAAACTGAAAGGCGAGCCGGCTAAAGAGGAACAAGGAAGGGAGTGAAGGGAGATCTAGTGTAAAAACAAAATACACCAGGAAGCTGTATGGGATAGAGAAATGTACAAACTATTATCATCAAACGATAAAACGCTGGCTATCGGATGAAGATGGGGCGGCGTCGGTGAGGTAACTTTCCTAAGACACAGTGCTCTGCGGTGCAATCAACCTCATGCTATATTTGAATCAGCAGCAGCAGAAGACGATAACAAACATGCCAAGTCAGACCTAGGACTACCACGAACCAGGAAAGAGGTGAGTAGCATGGACTAAAGCTCGGAAAACTAAATGGACCAACAATGCTTAGCCAAAGGACAAACGTCTTCATATCTCTCTGCAATGTCAGTAAGTCGCGCCAGTTTCTTACCCTACTTTGGATCCAGTAGGCAATACATTTACCTCGGTAAGAGATTGGTGAGTATAAGTAACATGTGGAAGGACTAACACAATAGTTCAGCCTTACTTTTGCATCTAAACCGATTACTGATACCACGCAACGTTTGTCTGCTTACCTAACCAAAGGAACCGTAAGAATGTCAGTCGAGAGAGTAGTGTCGCACTTGTGATCCATAAATGGAATATGCAGAACCTAAAGAGATAGAAACCAAGCTACGGTACTGAAAACACGACGCAGAAATGTAAAGGAAATCTTCTTTTGGCGTCAAAGTTGTCGTGAGTGCATGGCAGTATTTCTACCATTAGCAATGGAAAAACTAACACCGGCCGTCACACCACAGTCAATGCTAATACAGCTGCCAGGACAGATAAGTTAATCGGTTGTTCACAGTATTTCGTTTCCAAGAGTAAAGTGGCTAACAGGCAATCAGGGGTCAAAGAGGAGCGATTTGAAGGTGGAGTCGATAGTGCCGCCTACTGACTGCCAAACAGAAGGAAGACACCGTGAACATATTCAAGACACAGTTCTTTAGCGGCGGAGCCTTGACGGAAGAACAACCCATTGCGGAGTCAGCGATAAAACTGAAAGGACATTCAGCAATTGATAGTGTTAGCATGTTTTCCTCGTTGTGAGAAAGGTGTTAAATAAATCACAGTAGGTACTGACGAGGCCTGCGAAGTTCGGCCACATGACAACTACAGCATTCAGACAGTCGAAGTAGTTCCTAAGTGCAACTTCCTGGACAACTACATAGCATCCAAAGGAGATTGTCGATGGATGGGAGCACGATCCTAAAATGGAGGAGCGACCTAGATTGAGTTGACACGCGGAACGTGCGACGATGTTCAAACAATTAACATAGCATAAGATGTTGCCCATTGCTTCTGCTTCTGGTATATATCTTAAGTCCCTTGAGTCCACTGACGTCTTTGACACTGCACTGGAGGACCTAGATGACCGTATTATATTTGACGACGCTAGAAATCCTTCTTCCTAACCTCAACAGATGCACTAAATGTTTTGACGCTTGGTGCACGGTGAGACGGAGAATGGACGTGCGACAAGCGGAGACGCTGTTGCCGTGCCAGGTATTATTCCGCTAAACTCGATCGCCTTCAAATAAGAAAACATTATCTGTGGAGTGCTTTGCAAGTAAGGCTAGGAAAGGTCTGCAAACGTTTATCGGTCATCATACATAGGAATCGTTCACGGAAAAGCAGCAGCAAGCCATCGCATAAACAGATTCAACGCACATGTGAAAAACGATCGATTGCCATCTGAAACACATGGCAAGGTGATTCAGATTGGTCTATACTTTATCAGAAGCCGGTTTGCACAAACATTGCGACTGTCACTCAGGAATAACGCTAACATAATCGACTTGGCCCAGCTCATCAACCAGCAACAACAGCAGCAGATCATCCATTTGAACTGGTGCTTCGCTGCCATACAACCATGACCTATGAAATAAAGAATAATAAGGGACAGTAGGGGGACTTAGCTGAAAACCTTTATGCCCTAAGCAAACACTCAGGGTCAAGGCGCCTACACCTTGAGTAGACAACATACCGTCACAAACAGCTGGCTATCGTGCAAAGATAAGGCGGTATCGGCGAGACAGCTTCCTTGCGGCTTTCACTGCCACGCGTCATAATCAGCCATTACCCCGCAGATAACTCAGCACCAAACACACTTTAAATAGGCAATCGGACCAGAAGACGGTAGCAGATGCGCCACTGGTGTCTACTGCAAGCCATGTCCTGTAAAGTCACGAGCCAAGCACAAGGCGAGTCACGTGGACTCCAGCCCGGAAGGCGAGACGGACCAACGGCACCCAGTTTGACCGCCAGTGACTTCATTTCCAGCTGTCAAGTCAACTTATGACCACCTCGGAATTTGCTCTATGCAACATCTGGCAGATTAAACAAGGCCCTCCTAGGTAAGCGGTGACCAGGCATACGTAGCACGTGCTCAAGCAAACGCAACTTATCCAGTGCTATCTGTTGTTCTAGGAAGCTAGCATGATTATCACCACATAATACTCGTCTACGCACATCATCGTTGCGGACACGCTGGTGCCATACGATACCAGCAACGGTTCGCAGAGAACGATGATCAAAGGTTTGAAGGCGCCTCAGATGTTCAGACCGAAGGGGCCAAGTTGCACTATCAAAGATCAGGACGCCCTCAATGTGGCCTTGTATACACGGCCTTTCAGACGGAGGGAAACCACTTCTGTCGCCAAAGATGCCACAGGTTCAAGAAGACAGTTTTGGTCTTCGCAATGCGTGAACTGACTTCAGTTTCTTTGCGCCCATCGTTGCTGATGCAGCTGCCAAGGTAAGTGAGTTGATCAACCACTGCGAGTTCCTCATTAGCAAGGGTCAAGGGGTCATCAAGTGGCTGGTGGTCCTGCAGCAACACTTTGCACTTTGAAGGTGAGAAGCGCATACCAAATGACGGGAGCACTCTAGACAAGCTATTCAAGGTAGATTGTGCCGCCACATCGTCGAAGAGCAAGACGATATCATCCGCATAAGCAATATCAACTAACCTTTCACCAGGTAGAACCCCCACGCCTACATGTTGAGATTCCGCAAGGTAACACTTCATGGTAGAATCCACAACGAAATTGAACAAAAATGGGAATATCGGACAACCCTGATGAACGGCGCTTGTGGTCAGAAATCTATCCCACAGGTCACTATAGACCCGGACGCGGCCTGTAGTATTCGAATAGAAAGGAAGTAGGATGTTCACATATTTCGTGGGAACACTTATCAGCGCAAGTATTTCGAACAGAATGGAACGATCGACTGAATTGATTGCACTCTTAAAATCTAGGAACACAGCTATTGTCGGTCTGCGGTATGCGTTGTGCTGCTCTGGCACTTGCCGCAAAGTGAATATATGGTTCATACAGCCACGTCCTAGGCGGAAACCTGCCTACACTCCCCTAATCCGAGATTCCCGTTCCACACTGAGGCGACGAAGGAGAATAGAGGCCAGTAATTTTGTGACGATTGGCGGTAGGCTAATACCCCAGTGGTTAGCACAGTCTGCGCGACTGCGCTTCATGTATATTGCCACTATAATCGTTTCGCTCCAGTTAGCCGGGACACTCTTCCTTCCAGATACGTTCAAATAAGGTCAGTGCTTTGCAGAGGACCTCACCTCCATCCTTAAATAGTGCAGGTGGAAGAGAATCAGGACCAGCGGCATGAAAACGATTGAGGGCTGTGGTCGCGTTTCGGAACTCGGCCTCTGACTGAGGCTCTAAACTAACCGTTCATGGCTCATACTGCATCCCTTGAGTAGGAAGAGGTCCGGGAGCAGGGGGCCAGCTGAACTGATCATAAAAATGTTTCGCCCAATGAGATATACAGCGCTCTTTATTGTGTATGAGTGCACCCGCTCTGTCTCTGATTGTCTCACTGACGCCTGGTTCCCTGGTACCAGTGGTGCGGATCAGCTGGAAGAGCTTGTGGTAATTACGCACTGTTCCTGCCTCCTCCACTTCTTGAACTCTACTGGTCTACCAGGATTCCTTGTCAGCACGTAGGCTCCGCTTTAGTTCACGCCTAACAGCCCGTCTGGTCAAATTGTGTTCAGAGCCAGCCGGGAGGTGTCTTCTAAATTCCAACAGGTTCACCGGCCTCTCGGATATCCAGTGACGAATGAGGTGACGATTGATAGTGCCAAAAGCAGATGCTCCTGCGTCCCGTATGGAGGCCGAAATGCTATCCCACTGAAACTCAGTGTCATTAGGACAAGGTAGCGAAACTTCGGTGCGCACTGCGTCTTGAAAGGATTGTCTGACCGAGCGCTGAGACAATTTCCCAGTTGCCAATCGGAGGAGACGCTTGGTGCTCATCACGGTAAAGTTCATGGAGAAATGACAGCGTACCAAGGCATGATCAGAGTCGACGCAGGTACTCCAGTACGAGCGGCAATCCAGGATGGAACCACGGCCTCTGTAACTGATGGCTATGTGGTCAATTTGTGTCCAAAGCCAAGTGGCACCTCGGCGCCCACTGTGTATAAAAGCAGTGCTACTAAGAAACGACTGGTACTCCGCGCACAGTTGCAGCAGATGCTCGTCGTTGTCAGTCCGTTCGAAATTAAGCCCATAATTACCACCCAGCTGAGCTTCTGAAGAGCTCATACACCTGACTTGTGCGTTCATATCCCCTGCAAGTACTAGAATATCTGAACTAGTAGCACTGCGTAGTAGCGCGTTCCGTTCGTGATAGAATGTCTCCTTGACAGCATTTGAACTGCAATCGGTAAGAGCATAAGCGGAAATCATGAACAAACAGCGTTTTGTATTGCTTCGTGAATCCGCCTTAGCTGATGTCGTCAAACGGGCTGCACATAGACCGCTGTTCACCGGAATCCAATCGACTAACAATGGCTCAGTGTTGGAGCTTAGAAAGAGAAATACACCAGCTTGATCCGTGAGTGCTGCACCGGCGTCTCAGGATGCGTGTAACCAATAACAAGAGGATAAGCCAGGTGCAGTTAATTCAACAACCCCAGTAGTCATTGATCCTAATTTCGGACACACAACCCACATCAATACCCAATGTGTCCAAGGCGCGTGCGAGTGCAGCCTGTTGACCTATCTGTCTTAAAGTGCGAACGTTGAATGTCGTTATGGAAACTGGGCAGCGTGCCCTTATAAAGGACTGTTGCCGATAGGCGTCCGATGGGTGTTGTGGGATGGTGACTGCAGATGACTACTCCAGTGGCACTTCGGTTGCTGTCAGTTAAGCTGGGAATAAGAGAAGGAAGTTTAGTAATGGAGGTCTGGATAGGAGTAAGAGAAACAGGTGGAAAAGAAAGAAGGAAGGCACTAGAAGTAACATGTTTTCGCTTATCCGCCCTGCTGTATGCAGCAGATAAGGCGATCCCTGATAATCTGCGCGATGGCAAGTGCAGGATGAAGTTTATGTTTAAAGAAAAAGTCATGATTGTATGTGGACTGAAATACTGTCAGGGCGCCCAGACCTAGACAAGAGAACAATTAGGGCACTCAAGCAAAGCCTTGGGCTCAAAAACCTGTTCGCAAGGCAGCTGGGAGGTGGTGATGATTTAGTTTTACAGAAATGGACGCCATCTCATTTCAAACCCCCAATTTGGAGAACCACGAGACTGAGTTTGTCTGACCTTTCACCATTGACTAACATGGTTGGCGTAGCTCTCAAGGGGCCCGGATACACCACCCAGTATAGCTTAATGGGTCAAGGAGGTAGGCAAACCGTCGCACCACGTTAAGATCAAGTCTCATTGTGACGGTTGTCCCAGCTAGCTGCGATGGTTGCCGCTTTCCATTAAACAGCGAGAGAAAAAGAGTGTGTGGAAAAATCTAAAGACCGTGATAGCAATTGGAGATACAGTTACAATTGAAACTTCCTAGTTAACTAGTCATGAGCAAACCCATGTTACATGAAATGATGTGTCTCAGAAGCGGGACGTCTAATGAACTGAGAAGTGCGCTGTCTAAAGAGCCAGACAATATGCGTTACTGCGAATTGAAGCGATAGTGCTGTGACTAGTTGCACAACTGAAGAATAAATTCCTGGGTCAGGGAGGTGGGAGTTAACCACTGACCATTTTTCATCAATTTTGAGCCATCAGAATCCACCAGTCTTTTTAGCTGCTCCTACACTACGTCGTAGGTCGCAACAGATAACCTCTATGGCCGCAATTTGCTCAGATTCTGTTGTATTTCGACGGATACACCGACCTTTCGGACGTCAAGTGTCCAGTTTGCTGACATTCGATGGTGATACAAACACCGGGCCACGCATGGCACAAGAAATCCTAGTATCCCGAAGCTAGATACCCTCAGAGCAAGTAACTGAAAGCCCAGTGTATACAGTGTCTTGACAAACACGCCTAACTGTATGATATTATCGTTAGTCATTTAAGGGAGTCGTTTGTTGCAAATTCTCATAAAAGTAAAGGAAGATCAGCAACGCATCAAGAGTTGATCAGGTTCGACGAACAAGCTCCAATACAATTGGCGATCACAAATGGAGCCATATCGTGTTATGTTTACGGCAAAGTGGTCCATCGTTAATTAGATAAAACAGAACACCAACTGACATATCGGTGCCCATTATCCCTGAAGGCGTTTACTTAGATATAGTCGATGAGCGATGCACAGTTGGAATGAACACGTGCCTTTGTACGTGTGCTCGGGAGTAAGGCCAAAGATCTTATTCAAACGACATCGTGAAGAGCATAGAGAATTTATTTGCACATCCATATTTTAAGAGACCGGAACCATATCGGAACTGGTGGCACTGCATGGTGTAAAAGGTGTCCTTATAAACAATGGGATAGTAGTTGCTTGGAGCATGTGCGGCAGTCACAAACAAATAGAGCATGGTGCCACTCCATGTACTTAGTTTACGCTACTAGACAGTTTACCCAAAGAATGCCAACTAAAAGAATATAATGAAGCAACGAGATTCGACCTTGAACTTGAGTACCTGTAGTAGCATGTCCGGATGCACGTGATGAATGGCTGTAAGGTAGGCCAGATGTCGCTATTTCTAGCTCCGGGGATGCAATATACATCAAGCTTATGGGTAACATGTAGAAATGCAGCCTACTGATTTATGTCTCTGCACGAAAGTTGAGGGGCGCAAATAAATGGTTAGCGTGGCCCGGCAAGAGGTTGCTGATGACAGAAGACTAGTGAAAACACTGAAAGTGGTAGAACTTCAGCAGGAGCACAGCTGTCGTCTATCACACTTGGGATTACGGAAGGAGAACTAATGGTGGTGATCGCAAGGGATGTAAGAGAAACCGAAAGAAGAAAAGGCATCCGCGGTAACTAAGTCCCGTTTACTCGTCCGACTGTACGCAACAGAAAGGGGGAACCTTTTGAAACTGCGCGAAACCCGCTATGGGATATAGTTGAAATTTACCGGTTGTGGTTGTGTGAGGGTTATGATACATCCAAGAGGAGTAAACATGCACAGGAGAACGAGCCGAATGATAGTCAAAAGCATTTGGCCCAGACGCCTATAGAGTAGTAAGGATAAGAGAATGTTCGCAAGATAGTGAGGAAACCAAATTTATCTGACCTCTAACTAAAGACAAAACTGATAAGAGAAGCCCTCCAGAAGCGCGATGATACCAGGGCCTAGGTTGATAGATCGAAGATGTGCATAAACCACCGTGAACGTTAATACCCAGACTTTTTACGGTGGCAAAGGCTAGGATGTAGGAGGAAGAACATAAGGCGTAAAATCCCACGACAAGCCGCAGCGATTCTGTCAAACACGATATCAGCCCGAGCAAAATGACTGACTATTCGTATGAAAAAGATGGTACCATGGAAAAGTAAGGGAATTTTTGTCACATTCAAACGAGATACAAAAGGCTGAATGTTTTAAAACGGAACAAAGTTAAGCATTGTCGGAGAAACCGTCCAGGCTTATGTGGGATAGCAAATAAGGAGATACTGCTTGGTGACTTTCGAAGACAAAATGATGACACTCATATAAGACAGGTAAGACTCTCCGGAGCCAACCATACACATGGTTACACAAAGATTACAATCTCACCGCCACTCACCGTGCGCCACGACTAGAATCCAGAGTCTGTGAGAGAAGAAATCTCAGTTCCTTGATCCGAGGGATAAATTTCACGGGGTTTGTCATACTGTGATGGGGTTAGGCAATTAGAAGAGTCCACAGCATAAAACAGACGTGAGGTAGGAGCTATAATGTCAAAATCAACGTCAGCATCCAGAGTAGTTACTAATGAAAAGGTACGTAGCAGAAGTCTCAAAGCAAGCATAGATTCATCCACAAAAAGAGGTATCATCAAAAAACTAATGATGGATGGATAAGAGTACACAAACTATTAGGGAGAGCGATAGTTGCACTATGTATAAAGAAATCACACGACAGCTTTACAAATAAAACAGAGACAAGTCACCGAACACTGGCACACGGTGGAAGTTATTGAAAAAGAAATTACGTATACTCAGAGGCACAAGCTGGTCCTATTTTTAAAAAGCATTTGGCATTGGAGCGGAACTAAGTTCGACGTGTGTTGCATACAAAAGATTAACGCCTAAAATGCAGCAAAAAGTCAAATGCGTGAATAAAGCACTTAGTAAGAAAACGGCTTTAACCACGGAGGAGATTAAAGAAATCAACAGCAATGTGAATAAAAGCAAATACGCGGAAGAGCAACACGTTTCGCATTAATCAACAAAATAGCTGCGCCTCAACAGAGCGAATCAACGTAAAAGCAACTATATATATATATATATATATATATATATATATATATATATATATATAAAAAGTTGCTTTTACGTTGATTCGCGGTGATAGGGTCCGCGGCACCCGATTTCGGATTTACCTGTCACTGTGGTAAGCCACAGGACGCCTGCGCCTACAGAGGGACCATCGGTGGCTTGCGCTGCACCACCCACAGCTCCAACCACACACACCATATCCAGTGTAAACCCGAAGGAATAAGACCGGGAGGCATGAGGATGGAAGCCACGTTTCATCAACGGAGCCGGTCCACACTTTTTCACAGGCAAACACAAGCACGCTGTGTTTGGGAATCAAGCGCACACAAGGCGGTGGCTAAACCGTAGTCCGATCCACACTGAGTGCACGGAATCAGTCTTTGATCTTAACACGGCCACAAGAACCGTGCACCCCGTCCCTTCCAGCAACGACCAACTGTCTTCTAGAGCCAGTATGGAAGAGGTAGTGGTTAACTGACAGATAGGCACCTTGTCAACATGCATATCGAGCGCAGCCACACTGGGAATATCAAGCAACAGCCACACACTTTGAACGACAGTATCAAATAAAATAAATCGAACAATGCATAAATATGCTGACACAGCTGTTTAATAAATGAGTATTTGAAATAAATTGGTTGCCAAAATATCCGCTATAGTTTGAAGACGTCGGAAAATATATTATAGGAGTATGTTACAAACGCGAAGACGTTATCAAGGTTAACTACAGTGAGGTGCGCAAGTTAATGGAAAATAGTGCAGGTACACAATAAGGTAGCAAGAAAGAAAACCCACCACCTAAAATACAGAGAATCAGCATGCAAGCACGCGGCTAGTAAATCGAATGCAGCGTACCTACAAGCTGCGCCGGTTCTGCCTACGTTCTCTGCAAGACCAGTCGTCGCTTCGGTGCTGCTCCCGAGTGGCCTCGATCATGGATCAATAGACCTGCCTGACTCAAGCACTCGCGACCGCATGTGCTACAACATCACGCGCTCGAAGTCGATGGAGAAAAACCCATCAGCGAAAGCCGGTTCCTCAATCGACGCTTCTTCTCCGCATGCATGTGGTCTTCCTCCTGCACCTCGGCAACTGCTTTCGTGATCACATCGCGTCATGCACACCGATCAACCGCCTTCGATTCCCAATATCTGAAACCAATAATCGAACGTGAGAGGCTCATTTTACAAATGTCCTGGCGACGAAGCTTCGTCTTCCCCACATCCCGCTTCCCCACAATCCGGTATCCGCGTCGGATCCATGCGCCACACAAGACCGAACCACTAACGTGTCTCAGAAAAGCATGCAGTCCACTGCATACATTCCACATCGGGGCAATACTTCCGAGCCCGCAACTACGTCGCGCCAACCGACGCACAAAATCCGTCGCAAACACTTGATGGAACAGCTCGAGATATCGCACATCCCGCCGGCACATCATTCACGTTTCACTGCCGTATCGAAGAACGGACAGCACCACGGATTTGTACACCATCAGCTTCGTGCCAATGGTAAGCTGATGGTTGTTCCACACTCAGTACTCTAGCTTCCCGAATGCCACCACTGCCTTCGACACCCGGATACGAAGCTCAATGTGTAGCTGTTGGTCAGTCGACATCACACTCCCAAGGTAGTAGAAGCGGGAGGTGATTTCCAATACTTCAGCACCAATGCTGATTCGCGGCAATATTGAAGATTGCACCTCCGGTGAAGGCTGAAAGAGACAGACATTTTGCTTGGGTTGATGGTGAGTTCGGATTTGACCGCTGTCAAAACTAGAGCACTACTCATGTGCTGGAACTCATTCGCGATATATGCACAGTCGTCAGCGAACAGCAACATACTGATAGTTGTCTCACTGACTAGGGTTCTCACACCGAAACGACGGATGTTCAGCAACCCACCATCAATAAGGTGCTCTATACGATCACCGTAAGCACAAGCCGCAGCAAAAGCAAACGACATCATTGCATGGAGATAAATACTAAACAAGGCAGAACCTAAGACCGTCTTGTTTCACACCAGTGACAACTGCTAAGTCATCCGACGTCTGCCCACTCAGCTACACCCACGCCCCCATACCACTGTGCAGACGTTCAATTAAAATGACAAAATTACGCGGGCAACCAAACGTACCCAACACCACCTACAATGCCTCGCGGTTCACCGTATCAAAATCCATTGGTGAAATCAACAAAAAGCGAGTACAATGGCTGGTGTCGTTCTCTGCACTTCTCCTGCAACTAACGAGCCGCAAACACCATATCTATAGTGCTGCGACCCGAACGGAATCCACACTGCTCTTCCGCCACGTTAGGTTCCACAACCTGACTGACGAGGCGGTTGACCAGGATTCGGGCAATCACCTTGCCCACACACATCAGCAAGTTGATGCCATGATAATTCGTGGGACATTGCATACTCCCGTTGCCCTTATACAGTGGTAGCACGAGTGCATCCTTCAGCTCATGAGGCACCTCCTCCTCAATCCATACACGTTGCACCAAGTGGTGCAGCACAGTCAACAACACTGGTCCGCCGTAATTCAATACTTCAGGCGGGATCCCGTCGGCTCCGGCACATTTGCCGTTTTGAAGCTGAGCAAGTGCTCTCTGCGTCTCATCCAGTGTCGGCGTGTCCGCCAGACTCTCCGTTACATCGAGCTGCATCAGGCAGTTCAATGTAGGCCAGTCGATCTCTGAACGGTTGTTCAAGAGACAGTCACAGATTTTTCTCCAGATCTGCATAATGTCTGCAGTCTGTGTGCAGGTAGCGCCTGAAATACCATCGATCAGCGTTCTTAGAGGCTCAAATCTCGGTCCATACATCGCCTTCAAGGAGTCAAAGAACTCCTTGTGTCAGCGGCGTTCGGAGTAGCATTCCATCTGCTTCGCCTTCTCCGTCCACCATGCACTTTTTATGCGACGAAGCTCGCGGGTCAGTTGCCGTCGTAGTTTACAAAACTGACTACTCTTCCCGAAGTCACTGGGGTCTGCGACATGTGCAGCAATTGCTGCATTCTTCTCCGACACGAATGTGCCTATCGTCGCATTGTTCTCATCAAACAAATCAGGCTACTAAGAGTTTGTGCGCCAGATGGTCTCCTCGGCAGCAGCTGTCACCTGGTCGCGAATGTGGTGCCACAGGCCGCCCACTGTGGCTATGCATTCCACATCACACAGGATTGCAGCCATCGCCTTTTCCAGCCCAGTACGTTTCACCACAGTACCGAGGGAGAGAATGTTCAATTTCAGCCGGTTCACAGCAGGAGTGCAATACATAAATTAACAGAAATATATGTACAGTTGATTCCGCACCAATCTGTGATCAGTGCCACACTCAGCTCCACGCAGTACATGTGTCATGCGCTTCACACATGTCAGGCTGACGTACGATGACATAGTCGAGCAGGTGAGCGTGACCACTCCGTGGGTTCGTCCAAGTTACTATGTCACTCGCACTCAGTGCAAACCGAGTGTTCGTGATCGTCAGGCCGTGAGTGGCACACAGTGAGAGCAGCCTGTCACCGTACGCGTTCGCTGAACCAATGCCATGCGAACCGATAACATCTGTCCACACCGATGCATCACGCCCAACGCGCGCGTTGAAATCACTTAGCAGAAATAGTCGGTCGCTCCTCGGCACGGACCGTATCACGAAGGATAGCTCAGTGTAGAATTGATCACACGTGTGATCAGGATAACACATGGTCGGATCGTACGTGCTGATAAAAGTGACAAACTTACCTCTTCCGAGTCGTAGGCAAACAGTCATCAGTCGCGCGCTGATGCCTGTGGTTCAGCCACCAGCTGATCATGGAGGCCATCGGATATTGCAAATCCGACCCCACAATCACGTGGTGCTGAGGCGGCGTTGCCCACCCAGTAGAATATGTAGCCAGCACTTGCTTCATGCAACTACCTTGCTCAGAGAGCCGAGTTTCACTGAGCGCCGCAATATCGATGTGGTAGGGCGTCAGTTCCATCGCGACCAGTGCAGCGCGTCGCTCCGGGCGCTCGCTGGAGTTCCGGTCCAGTAGTGTGCGCACGTTCCAGCACCCGATGCTGAGTGCTTTGCGCGCAGGCATACGATTGGGTTGGTGGGCAATCGCATGCGAGATGGTCGTTTTGCTTCGGAGGTTTGCTTGAGGGACTCCACCCGGAGCCTTTGGCTCAATAGCCTTACCCACAAGGCAGTGGCTGTTCCATCAAGTGTTTGCGACAGATTTTGTGCATCGGTTGGCGCGACGTAGTTGCGGGCTCGGAAGTATTGCCCTGAAAGTGGAATGTATGCAGTAGACTGCATGCTTTTCTGACACCTTAGTGGTTCGGTCATATGTGGTGCATGGATCCGACGCGGATACCGAAGCAGCTATTATATGGTCAACTGAGTGTGGGGTAGCAGCATGTGGGGAAGACGAAGCTTAGTCAACAGGACATGATGAAAATGAGCTTATCACGTTCTAGTATTGATTTCAGACGTTGGGAATCAAAGGTGGTTGATCGGTGCGCATGACGCGATGTGATCACGAAAGCAGTTGCCGAGGTGCAAGAGAAAG